CGTGGAACTGGTATGTCAAACGCATTGCTTTGAAGCTTAGGCCATAAATGTTCATGTCGGTTTGTGTCCGAGCTTTTTCCGAGCCATACCCGCTTCCCTAAGATGATTATCGACCGCTAGTCGAAAAAGCGAGTGGTAGCATTTGAAGCATTGGCTAGTGCTCCACCCTATTAATATTAAATTTCTTTCGAATTTGGAAAAAGTTTGTTTGTTTGCATAGTATCGAAGTACACTGGCCAGATGTAGCTACCCTAAAACTGTCCGACCATATTTTGACAAACAAAGGTGATGTCCAGATCGGTTGCGGTAAGGGAGCAGAGCCAACTACAACCCATCAATGGTTGTCAGTTTTTTTGAAGCTTTTTCTCGGGAACCTCGTTTCTCTTCACAATTTGGTACCTTGTATAGTGAAGATTCGCCACAGGATGACCATTCATTCCGGTCTTTTGCGTACGCAAAATATCTGCACCTTTTTTAACACTAGTCAAACAGCCATTTTGCTCGAGAAAGTCGTCTACATTTTAACGACGTTGAATGTTTTTGTCCGAAAATACTATGTTTTGGGGCTCATGAGATCTATGTAACTCCATTCACTTAGTTTTACATGATTCTGGATAATGGAAGGACAGATTTCCTACCAAAATCGTTAAAATCGATCTGTGAGATTTAGGACCACTACAGGCTTTGTTGTCGAACTACCAGGTTTTCGGTGCCTTATCTTTAAAATCGTATTTTCATTTATGACCGATGATGCGGTGGGTCATCTAAGACGAATTGGGTCTCGGGATGGCTTCCCGTTCCTCCACAACTTGACAATATGTCGGGGAACTCAAAAATTTTGAGGAATTTATGAAATACATCCTCCTTCATCCAAACGTGGGGTTATTTTTATAATTTATTCCAAATTTGAACATTAAGGTCTGGGGGACATTGTCAGAAAAAATTAGCCCCGAGAACATAACAACAAGAAAGTTTTAGCAAGTTTAGTGGCGGGTGGTACGATTTCTTGGGACCGTCAGATAATTTTTGTACACTATGTAGTTGATACCGGGGTCTTTCAATCTGTACGAGAAGTGTTAAAGGAATACATTTTTAGGAAAAATATGCTTTTGGAATTTTAGTCATGTAAAATTTACTTGAAATATATAAAAAGTTGCAATTACTCAAGTATCCTTTCATTTCAACAGTGGGCACGGAGTAAATTTGGATAAAGCACAAATTTCAGGCATTTAGTACAGCCATTAATATTTGCCCTAAAATATGTTTTATACTGGAAGATATTAAAATCCGTGGCTGTGGCAAACTCTAAATATTTCTCGTGTAAAGTTACTTTTGGGATTTTAATCAGGTCCAAATTTAGAAAGTAAATAATTTAAAGCAAATTGTTAAAAATTAGACATTACAAATACTAGTAACTGAAATATGATTAAAGTTGAAATTAAACTTGGACACGTTTATAAAACTACAAAAATTATTCTTTATGCACTCCGAATTTTGTAATGAAATCTTCATCACCACTAAATATATAATTTCTTATCCAAATTACGTTTTGGAATTTTAATCACACAAACTTCTAAAATTGTAGAATTTCATCGGTACAAGTTGCAGGAATATTCTGTCATTAATTGCGAATTAGTTTTTTGAATTTCATTCATATTTAGAATGAAATTTTTAAAAACTCACATTTCTAAACTAGAGCTTACAATTACTGTTGACCTCCGTCAAAACAAATTCGAATTGAAACCTTGTTCACCATAATGGACAAGCATCACCCAAATTACGTATTTCGACAATATATTCTAATAAAATTGCGGCATGTGACTTTGCGATTTTGTAAATTCATAATTTTAATATGTTCTCAAATTTCTTGAATATTTATTACTCAAGTTTTTTCCCGTCCAAGATTTTAGATAAATTCATTTTACAAATTACTGCTTTAAATAAATCTTAAAAATAAAATACTTTGTCACAAATAGATTTCAAAGTTAAACATTTTCTCGTATTTATATACAAAATGTGTAATCTTGTTAAAAGAATTCCGTCTCATTTTTCCCAAATGTGACGAAACCCTACCCGTTCTTCTCAATTTAATTGGGTTTACTTTTACTTTACTTTCTCCTCCTCGGAGAGAAAGAGAGACGATTTTCATCTCGCTTCCCTCACTTGAATCCCTCTTAAGGGGGCTGAACAGCAAGAATTCCACCGTAATTTTAGGCATGTGCCACGCGGGTTCTTTCATGTTTTCCGTCTATTTGGGTAGCGTAGCAAGCACAAATTAGCACATTCTAAAATTTCAAGATCAAAAGCGATTTCAAAATTGTAAATTTTAAATTTGTATGTTTTTACTAGTCAAATTTCTTGTCACTTAAATAATGTCGTTTAAAAATTTTCATGTCTCGGGCCATTCGGAGTTTAAAATAACTCGACTATCGAAGGGATATACAAATCGCGAATTAACGCAAGCTTCCATGACGCGCCGCCTACGTCATAACAGTGACGTCACAACCCTATATTTTTAATTAATTCTCAGCAACTAGGACGAATTTCGAAATTCTGGTCGACGATATTGTAGAGCATCCCGTGGTCGTTGTACTCGAGCAGAAATCAAACATTTTGGTAGCTTGAGAATAGCTGGATGCCACAAATAGTGCAAATTCCATAAGAACCCATGCTAATCATCAGGCAAAATTGGCTTATCCATATCGATCAATTTTTAATGCAAATTTTTAAGCAGCTAATTATCAACAATAGCGGTGTACAGAATTTCGAAATTCGATTTCCAAGTCTCGAAAAATTAGTTTGAAATTTATGAATATTGCTGTGTATTTATGTATGTAAAAGTATGGGAAATCTTGTGATAGTTGTGATGAGTCGAGTCCTTCCACCTGAAGGAAGTACTGGATCCGCGATTACATTACCCGAATGAGCCGAATTATCCTATTATTTTACACCACTTATTGTTATTTTGGCGTTCAAATTATTCAATTTTGTATAGTTTTTACGACGAAATAAAAAAAACTGATGGTAAATAATAAACTAAGTCGGCTCATTCGGCTAATATAATTCAAAGTCCAAACGGGGATGCAAATTTCGCGCAGTTTAAATTACTCAATGATTTTTTGAGACGACTACGTCATGGAGGCTAGCCTTAACACAGGCAAAACATGTCAAACTTCCACAAATTTACGCAAATCTGTCTCATCCCCCCTGCACGGATCCCTTATGTAACCCAACCTCACACCATGATCATTCATTTCACATGAACGCATTCTTGCCTCGGTTTTTTGAAGGAGTATTCTTTCTATTTTATTTGAATTTGATCAAGTGAAATAAAAAAAACGGGTGCGAATTTAAAAAAGCGAGACATGATTTGAATATATCTTCCTCGCGACGGGAATCTCTCCAGACCAGAATAAATTTAAGTTATTGGATTATCTATGTAGCAACAATTTTAGGGAGAAGAAGAAAAAGATAGGTTTTTAGAATTAAGGTTTTTTGCAAATAATTGCACATTTTGGCACAAATTCATATACAACTTGGCGTAAACAAAGATTTTGAATTGCATTTTATTATGACAGAAGAATGTTTATTGGGAAAAATGTGTGTAATAAATTTGTGTAACTTTGTAACTTTACAAAGTTTAGAAATTTACAAGGGATGAGACGTCTAAGGATTTTAGAATTAAGGCTTTTCCAAATAAGTTAAACGTTTTTTAGCACAAATGTATATATATATTGCGTAAATAATTTGGCAAACAAAAACTTTGAAACGCATTTTATTACAAGAGAAGAGTGTTTATTGGGGAAAATGTGTGTAATAAATTTTTTAAACTTTGTAACTCTGAAAAGTTTAAAAATTTGCATGTATTGTACCACCGCATCGATTTTGCATTAATCGTATCCATTAAAGCGTGTCACATTATATTTCAATTTTTGAATGTGTAAATCTTTCCGCATTAAATTGGGAAACTCATCAAGTCCAGAAACTTTGTAAAATTGTGAAAGTAATAAAATGACAATGGGTTCCTCTAAAAACAATTTATTACCAAGTTTGACAACCGTGAAAGTGCTGTTGTGTCGGATTATTTACTTTTACTTTCTCTACCAGAAAGTTTTCGGCATTCTTAAATACTTCCGTTTTCCGCTCGAGGAGGATGTGACTTTGGAAACTTTAGGAAATTTTACGCGTCCATGTCGTGTCATTCAAGGCGTCGCTTCAATTTCGGACTTGTCACTTGTTCACTCTAAATAATTCGTTTATTCTACATTTAAGTTTTTCCATTAATTATGAAAAATTACTAAAATATTTTTCCTAGTTTGGTAATTTAATTTGAAAGAGACACGTTTTTTGTTGACTGGAAAGAATGACAGTGAATTTTGTATTTATTTTCATGATGGCTATAAAAACTCATCAAGGTTATGCATAGATTCGAAATTATTTTTGGCAACAAATTTGAATTTTGAGTAAATTCCATTACAAGCACGTGGGTTTTCTTGCCATACAAGAATTCCTACCGAATTATTTAATGTGCACGCGTTGGTAGCCCGAGTGAGTGAAAAGGTCACGTTTTGTCACTACAAAACTTTCACTCAAAAGAAAACTTACTGTTAACAGGAGAATGTTAAGTCTAAATAATTTCCCTTTTGAATTTACCCGTCGAAAATCCTCTCTCATCTGTTTTGACGTTACGACCAAAATATATTGTTTTAGTTATACAATTAATTAGCCATTGAAGTTTACGCCTTTTAATATGGAAGGTACAAAATCGAGCGAGAGCATTATTTGTATATCTTGTAAAAAAATTTACAAAATTTATTAATAAAGAACAAATTTAAACTATTATATTTTAAAAAATTGTCAATTAAAAACTAAACATATTTAAAAATCAAAATAATAACTTCATCAAACAAGACAAAATGAAAGATTGCCTCTTATTAAAATATCTTACGACTAATATTTTTCTGCATAAAAATTAAAATCTTAAATTTCTTTAATTGCAGAAGGGATCCGCTGAAGAGTTACGACGCCGCCCGACATCGACAAGTCTTCCCGTGGCAAATCGCAACTCTGGGAGTTCCACGTCCAGCGGGGAAATCGGTGGGGGCGGCTCGTCCGGCTCCAGGAACTCGTTTTTAGGCCGGATTAGCAACAAGGATGGAGGTGGATGGCGACGAAGGGGGTCCAAACACTCGACCAGTGGGGGCGATTCGAACAACAGGGATAGTTTCAATGTCGATGGGGTCGGGGGTCAAGGTGAGCGTCATTTATCTATGTTACACATATATGTAAAACTAAGCAGTATTTTCTTATGTAATGCTCCTCCAATTAGCTTTTTTCTAACTTTCTAACATGTCAACGTATCAGGAATTGTAGTTACATACCTGCAACTTATTTCCTTACGATAATTTTCTGAATGTTTTTGTAAATTGGTTTGGAAAGTTGGGCACATCGGCATTTACTCATAAGCACATAAATTTTTGAGCAGTTTTGACAACAAAACTAATTTTCATACGTGCATGTTCATTTCGGTCATAAATATAATGAATAGGTATAAAACGAAGATTTTAGCGTGTCGTCTATCAAGATAAGATGACCCCTGATAAGACAATTACTGCTAAAACTATATCAATAAAATGAATCCACTCTACCAAACGGCATCATTTTATCCAATCAATTTTTACACTCCAAATAATGCGACAATTCACTCGGATCTTTGTAACCTTTGCAAAGTTTCAACAAACGTTTCACAATATTGCAAAGATTACGAAGACAAGTTAGGTTACAAATGTATTGATAGGTCGTCTTTATTATTTTGTAAACCAATTTTAAGCAGATTACACATTCCCTAAATATCCAAATATTGCGTCAAAATTGATAAGTAAGACTCCAAAAACAAATATTTGTGTTTAGTTAGTACCCTATAAGATTACTATTACAGATTAATTATCTAATAATGGTCATTTTCACACAGTTTACGAAAATGTCCAGCCCAGTATTACCTCCTGGTATCAAATCGTTCCCAGATTATTTCGTGTGTCAAATAAGACTTCTTACGTCTGCTTAAATGGTGTCATTACGTATTCGCCCAGATTCGCATTGCAATTGAGCAGTCCTTTGTCATCCTCATCTCGAGAGAGTCAAGGAGCCAAGTTACTGAACGAGGTCGGCCAAATGGCAGGCCACCATATTAAGAAAAGGGTCGAGCATAACAAGCGTTATTAATTTGGGTAGATTGCATCCCACGAAAATTCTCACTTTTTCAACCTTCTTAACAATCTAATTTCTCTCCAGGCAAGAAAATTTACCTCATCGAGCACAAATATTTCCTCTTCTTTTTGCAAGATTTCCCTTAAATTTCGTAAAAACCACACCCTTTATGCCCACCACCTCGCAGTAAAGTCCTCAACTTAACTGTAACCACTAAAGTGACTCTCTTAGCAGTAAGAGAAGTCGACATTGTGACGAAAGTAATGAGAGGTGACATTAGCATAATTTATGAGGACGACCTTTATCTACTACTCCCTTCATTAAGTCTGCTCCTTTGATCTCCCCCATTACTCAGACAGTCGACTTTCACTTCCACTTTCTCCCAGAAGCCGGTGTCACCTTTAATTTAAGACCTCAGTCGGACTGGCATGGAATGAAATAAAGTAAAGAAAAAATGAATAAATGAAGTCATGTAGTTCTTTCTATTTTTTTTTATTATTTTGGGGAAAATTCCCAGAAATTTTTTACCACGGCGGTATTAATTTTTTTTATCAAATACTTATGAAGGGGTTTCTTTAAGTTAAGAATGATGCTTTTCACCGCAGCGATACTGTGTAAATTGTGCAATGGTGTGATTAAAAAATGTCTCTGTGTGTAAACTCTCTCGTGTTGGTAATAAATTGTTACCGAGAGGAAACAAAAATTTTACGCAATTTAAATTCTATTATGCATAGGTATGTATGTATCCTGGTACATAATTCACTTAATTTTTCTGATAATAAACAAAGTTGGAAAATTCTCAAAAACCATACTTTACAAAATGATTACCAAATCAGACAATTTTGTTATTTTTGTGACTCTTAAAAGTCGAAATGGTTTAATTTAAAAAATGACATATAAAAATTTAAATAAGGTAAGCTGATGTCCATTCCATATCATAAGTTTAGAACATTTCTTAAATCAATTTCGAAATAATTCGAATTAAAAAAAAACCATTTCCTATACAAAATTATATATTTCCACATTTTTAAGAGTGTGCATATATATTTCCAAATGAAGACCCAACTCCAGTTTGACCCCAAAAAAGATTAGATTTCATTTCCCAACACAATCTGTAAGAAGATCATGAAGTGGAGATTGCATCTGAGGACATGCATGTCTGTCTCTCGTTAAATAGTGACAGTTGTGTCCCGCAATAAAATAACAATTGCTCACTAGAGTATTAAAAGTGAGATGTGATGAGGGACCAAGTACTTACAAAATTTAGTTAGTTGGTGGCATCCAGTCGTTAAATTCGGGGGAGTTATTTGGGCTGATTTTATTTTATGGCTAAATTGACAGCATGCAGCACAACCACGCTAAATAATTTGGGATACGAAATCTAATTACGTATCGATGTTGGAGAGAATCTGGTACCAATTTGGGGCTAAATTTTTAAAGATTTATAACTAATTTCGGCTTTGTGATGATTCAGAAAAAAAAATCAAATTTCAATAAGAAAACTTATTTTAATAGTGACTACAATTGTATCATGCGAGTTTGGCAATTATTTCCATAATTTTGAAACATCCTACCCATTTCCAAATCCTTTTGCGTTAATGCCTGATTATAAATTTCTAATGGAAAAAGGTCCGCGTTAAATGGGAAATAATGAATAATAATTTCCGTTGAATTTTGGGTTTATCATTTGTGAAATGAAAAGTTCGATTTTTTTACTTGATCCGATTTTTTCTTTATATTCTATGGATTTGTTTTTAATATTTCGCGAAATTGGAAAGCAGAATGAGACAAAATTGTCGACAGTTGACATGCAAGTACGTTTATCTACTATAAAAATTAAAGAATTTCTCAAGGAATAAGCAAATTAGCACAAATCTACATAACCGATCACACACTTAACAAATTTCAATTTCAGTAAAATGTTTTATTATCAGATATTGAAGATTTTGAATATTTTAAATGCCAATAATTAATTTTGGTAGTAAAGTTGAAAATATCGACAAATAGATCCCTTTTCTCTTGCGTATTGGTAGGGCACTTTTCTAAAAAAAATAAATAATTCTGAGCCAAGGACAGAATCCCACCGAGAAAGAAAAATGATACAATTTTGACAGGATCAAATAATGTCATGATTCTTCTTCCTCTTTTCCATCAAAAGACAAAAGACGGCGAAAACGAGGAACGAAAGCTCCGAGAGCAGACCCCCACCGTCAGCTTTCTCTCCGCTGCTTTCTCTTTGACTATTACTCACTCAGTCAGTCAGACTTTACACCAGGGCCGAAAGAAAACAAGGTTTCTAAAACTTGGGGCTAAATAAAGTAAGAAAATCATAAAAAAGGTGTGATTTAAAGTTGTGAAGAAAATAAATAACGTCATCAAAAAATACAGCAGTGCAGTCACATCAAAATTTAATCCATTCTCAGCTAAAAATATGTGGAAGACACTACTTCAAAAGTCACCAGTCTACTAAAAATGCGATGGTGTGAAGTGCAACACTCAGATTTTATTGAAATTTTAGAATTATATAGTTAAAGTCAATATCTAACTAACGCTTCTTGAGGCAATTTGTGCAATGGTCAGAATTTATCAAAAAATATGAGGGCAACATTGAAAAATGGGCTACTTTTTCCAAACAAACTCAAGATTGCTTTCCCCGCCTGGTAAAAATCGCCAATTTTTCAACTTTGACTTTGGAAATTTTGATAAAGTCTGATCATCGCACAAATTGCCTCAAGAAGCGTTAATTGTACAAATATTTACTTGAACTTCATAATTCCAAAATTTCAACAAAATACGAGTGTTACACTTTACACCATCGCATTGTAAGAACCAAACGAAAACTGGTTTTGAACTCGACAACTGTTGCACGACGATTTCATACCAAAATTTAAAATCAAAACAAGTAAAAACCTTTAAAAAACCAGACTTAACTGGTTTTCAGTAGTATCGCAACATTAGAACCCTACACACACACACCAATCCGGGAGTAGGAAAAAATGCGTACTTTCACCACTTTCACCACCCTCCCCAACATACGTGAAGCCAGACAAAGAAATAAATTCAGTCCGGTTACAAAGAACTGCTAAAAGTTTTATGGCCTGGTCCATCCGACCACATTTTTATTCTTTTTTATTATTCGCCATTCTACTCATCACCACGAACGAACACCACTAACCGACGACCAGGTTCTTCATTCCCAACTATTTTATTTCATTTTATGAGACCACAAAAAACTCCTGTCTTTAAGGAAAAGTAGGCTTCTTGACACTCTAAATAATACGGTAGTTGGTCAAATGGTTGGTAAAAGTGTTACCGGAATGTTCCCAATTTGGCGGAAATTTCAAATTTGTTACCGCTTCGTTGACCAACAGGATTGTGTAGATGCACATTAAACAGCGTTGTAAATTTTACCACCAACTTGGTAAACTTGGTTACCACCACACTGAAATTGTTGTACGGTAACAAACTACTACCACATTATTTAGAGTGTGCTTGCATGCTTTCCCCCCTTTTTACTGCGCCCACCTCCACTTCATTACCTGTAGGATCCTCAAACTTAATAAATTCAATTTAAATACGAGGCCCGAATTTCTATAAAAATGAAAGTAGTGAAAGTCGTGAAAGTGAAACTAGACAAACTTTTACTTTAAATATAATACGGCATTCGAGCAAGCGGAGAAAGCTGGACGCACGTATTTTCACCTTATCGATGGGAAATCCTCTCTCGTAATTACGCCTCCTTTATCTTCCCCAGACCAGGCAGGTTACCAGAAGGACCAGGGTTTCGAAAAGTATACAAACTTAAAACTATCTTGTTAGTAGCAAAATTATCCCCCACATGAAGTCAAGCTTACTCGAATTTTGTATCGAACTTTTAATAGATGGTAGTAAATTTGAGTTTCGCGGAAATTATTGTTATCGTTCGGTAACAAAACGTTACCATCGAGGTAGAGCCTACTACACTGAAAATTTTGTTACCAAATTATTTGTAGTAAGCGTAACCCTTTCTTTGGAATTTCAACTGTCCCAAAGTCAAATAAGAAATATTTCAGACGTCAGATATTTTTCAGATATTTTTCAGATATTTTTGTATAACTAAAAGTCCAAAAACTTAATTAGAAATAATTAAAGTAATTATTAACAATAAGATGCCCAACAGTCAGTCTGGTTCAAGTGCCGGGGGATTGGAACTTAGTACCTGGAAAACGTCACCCAAAAGTTCCGATTCCCTGGACTTTTTACTTATGCAAGTTACAGGGAAACGGAACCCACTTGTCGCAGGATTTAGCGGGCCTCGATTCCCCGGTACCCTATTAGACAAAAGTTACGATTCCCCGGAACCCAAGATTTTTCTTCCATTTTTCATAAATTGGATATATTTCCGAAAAAAAAATTTATTGTCTCAAATTAACCTCCCACCAATGAAGAACATTGGATAAAAAAATTAGAATTTTTTAAAGTGGCGTTTTTCCTAAAATCACAAATATCTGACAAATTTGAGGAGCGGCAAGCTTAAAAAGGTCCGGGGAATCGTCACCTAACAATGATTTGTATATGAAAATCATTGTTAGGTGACGATTCCCCGGACCTTTTTAAGCTTGCCGCTCCTCAAATTTGTCAGATATTTGTGATTTTAGGAAAAACGCCACTTTAAAAAATTCTAATTTTTTTATCCAATGTTCTTCATTGGTGGGAGGTTAATTTGAGACAATAAATTTTTTTTTCGGAAATATATCCAATTTATGAAAAATGGAAGAAAAATCTTGGGTTCCGGGGAATCGTAACTTTTGTCTAATAGGGTACCGGGGAATCGAGGCCCGCTAAATCCTGCGACAAGTGGGTTCCGTTTCCCTGTAACTTGCATAAGTAAAAAGTTCCCGGGAATCGGAACTTTTGGGTGACGTTTCCCAGGTACTAACTATGGAGGCGCAAACCATGTTCAGCGCAGATAATTTTTTGACCTTATTAGTTTGAAAGAGCAAGTCTTTACAAACAACATTTGGCTCGGCACTTGGGCAGATGCGCAAATTTCAGCACGTTATGGGCGCCGCAAGTTCGCAAAAACGCACGATTTTTCGGGCAATGCCCAGCGCGAGCTCAACTTCGTGCGTTTTTGCGAAGTTGCGGCGCCCATAACGTGCTGAAATTTGCGCATCTGCCTAAGTGCCGAGCCAAATGTTGTTTGTAAAGACTTGCTCTTTCAAACTAATAAGGTCAAAAAATTATCTGCGCTGAACATGGTTTGCGCCTCCATTGTAAGTTCCAATCCCCCGGCACTTGAACCAGACTGACAGTGTCTTTCCGTGTATGAATAAAATTTGATGAGGGGCATATTCTCAAATTTTGCTAAAATATCATAATCCAAAACTGCACAAAATTTGCATATAACAAAAATTGTGAACCTCTTTTTCACTCAAATATGTAATTCGTATATTTTCTTCAATTTTTTTCTTCATTATGGGAATTTATTTGTTTGTCTATCGTATTATTTTATGAATTTCGCCCTTTCTCACGATTTTAAAATCGTCCGTAATCATACTTTGTAAATAATGGTAGGAAGAAACCCTACGTTTAAAAACTGACCAGGAATATCGGGGCGCTTTGTGTCTCGAGTAATCAGACGGGTCTTGTTCTCCTGCAAACTTTCTGCCTGGTGAAAGTTATCAACAATGGATCAGTGAGTAGTGGTGGCTGTGACGTGGGGCGGAGAAAGTCCACCAAGTCGACCCCAGATTGAGATGGGAGAAAGTTTTGTTCGCCAGGAAATGACGGCGGGATCAGAATCATCTCGGACGACCATGGATGGATCTCGGATGGACCACAAAGTTTCCCACCCAGCGTCATCATCATCATCATCGTAGCATCCCACAAAAGTTTCACCAAGTAGGGAATCCATCTTTAAGGGTTGTACGGGAAGAGTGTCATTTATTTAGTTTGAGGGCTAATAAACCTTTAAATTAGGCTTGCATGCATTAAAGTCTAAACTGGAAACAAAATTGTTTCTGACTGTAATCACTAGGGACGATTTGTCACCGAATGATAACAGTACTTTCAGCAAAATTCAAATTTTTAATCATACTGGTAACAATTACTTGCCGCAGTGTGATTGTAGTCACGCTGAAATTATTGTTACAGATTTCAAATTAAAATTTGTGTTAAAATTTGGTAAATTCGGTAAATTTGGTAAATTATGGTACAAAATTTATTAAAATTTGTCGCAACATTACTGCCGCTATCTTAAATCTACAATAATTTATTTTGTAAAAAAACCTATAAGATCCTCTTAAATGGCCATTAACGCAGCATCAACTACACCACAACCTTTCTGTAAGACCCCCTAAAACGTTAACGTAACATGTTCCCACAGAAAAAGACCACGCACGGCTGGGCGACCCACCACCTTTCACTCACATCACGGGGGAAACTTTTTGGTCAAGTTTTCAGAAAACATCACGTACAACTTTGACGGTGAAAGCGAGAGGGGAGAAAGTCAGCCAGCTTTTTGGATTTGTTAGCTATTCGGATGGATGGACGGTTCGAACTGAAAGCTGCATTTTTCTTATGTATGTCATGCATAATGTGGTCTGAAAAACAGAAATTTTATGAGATTTGGTAACTATTCAGACTAAGAAAGTCATCTACAAACAAACTTACAAATATAAAAGTCGGAATTGCATAATATGTATGATTTCAAGGTTGAATTCGATTTCATAAAATAAATTGCATGCATTTAATTACGCAAGATGCAAAATACAAAAGATTGTAAAATATGACGGATTTGCAAAATTAAAGTTTAAAGTGTAACCTTCATGAAGTACAAATTTTGTGTTTTGAGTTTTCTAGATTACGAAAATTTCAAAATTGTGAATTTAAATTTTATTTGCCGGATTAAACATATCTAAACAATAATTAAAATTTCCCTTAATTTACAAAAAATTGCAAATATCAGGAGTACACTAAAGTTTCAAAAATATGAACAAAATTTTATGTGACTAATTAAAATCTAAAATATCTAAACAATAATAATTATTGGTCTAAATTTACAAATCGGCGTGAAACTAATCCCAAGTCATTATCGACCTAATTTTCCCAGAAAGTGTCCCATTTTCTCAAACTACATACTAGACCCGCACTATTTTCCTCCCCCTCATAAATTAATTATCACCAATAAAACAATACTTCTAATGGAAAATTGTCGTTATGTGGGAATGTCACCGAAATAAATGACATGTGCCCCCGTTCCATTTCATCCGAAATATTAATCTTGCCTTGCCCCTCCGATGGGAATAAAGTGTCACAAATGTCATTACTTAATTGGTCCATTAGCTTTAATCACGTCACGTCATGGTACTACGATATCATCATCGTCACATCATCCCAGTGCAGATGGGGACGCGATAGGTTATTTTATTTTATTGCTTTTTCTCCCTCCTTGTCAATAAAACCCATCAAAACAAACTTTCCCACTTAACCAATAACCACAGATGGACTGGAAAGATGTAGACAATGGGAGGAGAAAGTTGGATAATCGGGGTCCTGCAGGGTGGATGGGGTCCCGATTTAAATCAAAGTTCGCGGGGCAAATATCAAGAATCACGTGGTGATGATGGTGATAAAGTTGGGGGACACATTCTTACTGAACGGACCCCGATGAGAGTAACCTTACACTTCTGACATGAGACATTAAACACGTTTGCCATTATCATTATTCTCGTACTTCCGCATTTCATTAAAGTTTTGAAGGCAATTTAGATCTTAAGATTTGGAAAGGTATAAAATTTTCTAAAATTTGGGGGAATGTTGCAGCCTTGAATTTTTGCGATTTTCATGTCCTAAGATTTGCATAGTTAATATTAAATTTGTAGGTTAAATCTTCGATATATTTTTTTACAGATTAAGTTTTGGACTATTAATCATAAATATATAAATTTTACTCGAAGAATTAAAATACAGAAAAAGCATTTCATTTCATTTGGTAGTAAAAAAATGAGATCGACTTTTATTGATTGTAAATAAATAATGTCAGCGAAAGAAATTGCTCTATACCAGAATAAATAGTTAGTTGTATGAGTGTAAATAAGTATGCAATTAATGAGCTCAACCCAGTTAGTTTCATAAATTTCTCAAAAATTCCTATAAATTTAGGAAGATTGTGAGGCAAAATAATTTACAAACAGGCCATGTTTCAAAATTTAAAAAAATTGAAAATGTTTACCAAATTTTAAAAACTACATCTTAATAAAGCCTTATTGTCTTTCTCTTTTTGCAGATGACGGAGACGAGGGTGATGGATGCGTTTCATTTTCCTTAATTGGGGCCGGAAATGGTGCCGATTGTGACCATCAAGTCACGGGTGGTTCGTCGGAGGAGGAATTTACCTCGTTTGGCAGCACAGGACCCTTGTCGTCCTCTTATGACGGACCCTTCGACGGGGTCGCGGTCGCATTGGTGGATTCGCAGCCGAGTCCATACGATCGACACGCCCTGAGATACAAGGTAAAAATTGACTCAAATATTTAGATCACATTCTTTGTGACATGTGATTTCTTAGATATCATTTGGATAAATTAAATATAAGGTACAAATCGGAACTCAAATTTTTTTAGTTTTTATGCTCGATTGCAAAAAATTGTCTTTTCATTTTTATTTGTATGACTAAAATTCCAAAAGTAAAAAAAAATTGAAATAAAATAAGTCTTTATTACTACGCCAGATAAATTTGATCCCAAACTGTAATATACAAATAATATGAATGTTTGCATTGACTAAATGCAGTCAGATTTAAGTTACAAATGTTGTAAAACTGCTTTCTTGGAAATGATTATAAGGGGCTAAATCAAACTGAGAAATTCAATAATTAAAAAAAATACTGCATAAAATGCTAGTAATTTTTTTTAGATAGTCAAGTTTACAAAAAAAAAACATACGTTTCTCTCCAACTTTTACGAGATGGCCATAAAATAAATCTTCATCCCCCTCAATTTAGCTATTACGCGTCTGAAAATCGGGATAAATGGGCATTTCCAATTTATCCCCTAATTTTAAGGAGGCTGCTTACTTGGCTACTTTCTCCCTTGCTTTCCTCCCGTTTTCTAACTCTCGGCTTTTTTATCGGGAGCTAGACCTTATCCGACCGTCATCTTTGTCTGTGTAAAAGCAGGGAAGTAAAATTTAACCGATTCACTTGGAAATTGAAACTCGCATTTAATTGAATTTAGAAATTTGAAACTTTTTGCGTTTCAAAGGACCAAGTTCGAAACAGATTTACGAATGTGAAGTTAATTTCTGTGGAGAAATTTTCTGTTTTTTTTAATTAAGAACCACAAGATGAAAATGTATGGGTCGGGCTGCACGAACTTCACACTACAGATTTTTTGTCCGTTTTTTACTACGTGCTGCAACCAGTGAACTAACTGCTCAATCAATTTTCATTTCATTGCTTTCCTTGACCATGTCCGTTGCAAAGGGGGGATTAAAAATTCTGACTGTTTAGAAAATAAAGAAAATTCAGTAGAATCTTAATAATTCGGGGCACATGGTGATTCTATGCACTTTCGCAAATAGTTTTGCACGGCAGACTGCTAACTAAGGATAAGTAAGCATAAGTAATCTCAAATTCCCTGCAGGTATTCACAGCAATGACTGCAATTCAGTAATCAGAGCAAAAAACTATAAAATTAATTTCAAAATGAATAGATTTTTTGATAGAGATTTTCCTTCGTGCTTTTTAAAAGTTTTTTTTAGCTAATCTACACAGAAAAATTAAAAAAAACATGTCTTGATAATGAATGACAGATACTTAGCATTCGAAATATTGACAAATAAAGTAAATCAGTTCTTCCGTTTTCCACTAAAACTCTGTGTCATCCAATTATTTATTTAAAAAAACAATTGAATTTCTTAAAAATTCTAAAAAATCTAAACGCTTTTCGACAAATCTAACTATAAAAATATTCAAATTTACAGAAGGGCGATATGGTTCAAATCATCTCCAAAAAGGCGACTGGACTCTGGATTGGCAAAGTTGGCGAGCAAGTCGGTCACTTCAAATTTATAAATGTTCGCATCCTCCCCGATGGCACGGATCCCTTTGATCCTGACGACGCCTACGGTCAAGGCCACCACCACTTCTCCTTGTCCGACCTGAACCCGGAGGAGAGACAAAATATGGCGGATGTCATCAGCGGAGAAAACGAAGTCGAAAACAAGTCTGACCTCGACACTGGCACGCCGATCAAGGGGGCGAAATCGAGGGGAAAAGCGGTCAGGAAAGGAAGACCGAAAGGTGTGGGCGATCTCCTACACAGGATTGGACTAGATGTAAGTTGCTACTTTACAATTTTGAAAATTTCCTGGAAATTTTATTATGTTACAAAGTTTGTGAAAATCTCAACTCGGAAATCATCTTTACGAAATTTGTAATTCATCCGTCGCCAACACCGACACCTTTTTTACTTTATATTAAGCATATTAATACATTACTCTCATAATTGGCTTAAAACTTGGTCAAAAATAATAATGCAATTTTGTTATGAAAATGTTAGGAACTCTGAGAAAATGTTATTCAGTTTATCCATGTTTTGTATATCTTTTAAAATTAATTAACATTTCCGAAATTGATTTTGCAAAAATTACAAAATGTTACTTGTTGACAATGCAATTTTCTTCGTTCAACTTGGAAAAATATGACAAGTTTTAAAAACGTCAGGTACACAATTTGTGTCTAGGAATTTCAAGAATTTCAGGAATTTTAGGAATACGTGTCCTATTTCTATTTCACAATGTAAATTGATTTTACTATACTTTCATGCATTTTTATTTTTCAGTTAGTTTAATCTAAAAGACGATGATGAATGTTTTTCCCGAAATAATCTCGACTTTTCTTAAAGCAGACTTGGAATTGATCCCTCTTCTTTTTTGACACTTAACTTATTTAAACGATTTAACCCTTCTTCTTCCTTTTTTAGTTGATAGTCAGTCATCCACACGAAATAAATTGGCGATGTGATCTCTTCCGCTTCCCGACCTTTGCAAAGTTCCCCCTTTTCCATCGGTTAACACCTCGTTAATCATTTTCATTTTATTGAAAGGGAACAATATTTAAGGAGGAAGAAACGAGGGTGAATTTTCCACTTGGGAAGAATCACATACATCAATCCTATAAAAATCTGGTTCTTTTCAAAATAAGATAAAATATAAATTTACTCGGAAAGAAATTGGGAGAAAGTTTGTATAAAAAAAGTGTGGGTAGAATTTTGAGTTTAAAATCACTGGAAATTTATAAAATTTCAGAAATTTCAGAATCAATTCAAAACACTAAATGTTATAACAGTAGTCACCATAAATTTGTGAAAAATGCAATCTTTTAAAATCACATGTAAGGTGAAACTGGTTGATAATTCATGGCTATGTTCACAACGCAGTAAACTTTGCAAATTTTATAAGATTAAGAAGGAAAATCAGGTTATAAATGTACCTATTGCCACAGTTTACTGGATTACAAATACTTACAAATTTAATGCTTTCGTAAATATGTCAAGTTTATTTCATAATTTTAATTCAAAGCAGAGCTCAGAACCGCCGTGTAATATTAATGCCAATTATTACATTTACACAATTAAGTTTTATGATGAATGTTTGTTCAGATGATGAAATTTGAACGGTTTGGTGACATTTTTCAAACTATTTACAAGATCGAGTCGCATAATCGCCTACTCCTAAGTTTATTTTCGAATATTGCATAAAATAACTAATCCCAAGTATTTGTCACGCAAACATTCAAATTGAAACAATTGAACAAAATTGCAAATCTTCTCAAATTTATGTTTACGACACCATCAAAGTTAAATAAAGTTCAAACTTGTGGAATTCAAGTTTCTCCTGGAAATTCTTAAATTTTTAAACTGCACAAAAAAGTATTCAAACTTTTAAATTAGATTCTTGACAAAACTTACGAATAAATGTTTCGTTTCATAAATTTCAACCAAATGACCAACCAAATACAAATTATTAAACTTTTCCCAAACCAAATTTTTTCAGGGAAAAAGAAGTTGTAAAAAAATTTGAAACTTTTTTTTACCAAATTTGATTTCAAAATGTACCCATTTTCCTGTTTAAGGTCCACTCAAACGTGTAAAAGTTGTTAAAAGGGGACACTTTCTTTCCATTGTATTTATGTCTTTATGCGACAACAAAAGCACGCACAATTCGGTGTTCGGGGCCGTTCAAGTGGTAGTAGATTGTCCTCAAGCATGGGATTTATGCTCGACTGACTGACTGAAATGGTACCGTAATCTTAGAACGGCCCGACAGTCCCCCTCGTAGTTTTCTTATCCAGCCCTCCCCATCCATTTTTCATTCTCGAGTGCATTCAAAAAAATTCACAAAGTCAGCACCGCAAAAAAGGAAATAAAATAGAAAGTCAGTTATTTTAGAATTTACAAACGAGCCGTGCATGCATAAAGTAGTATTTTCTTTGTAAATCTGTCTCTTTAGCAAGGTCAAGCTATACGTGAAAGGTTTCATGGTTAGTAAAACATGAATTATTTACGTATCAAATTGTGAATCACATTGTTTCTGTACGTACCTCCCTCGCAAAGTCAGGGTGACAAGGAAAAGTCAAGTCAAAATTTATTGTGAAACGGATAAAAAATAAATACAACTTTCATACATATGACGAGTCTCATCGAATACAGAATGTCAGCATCCGGTTGAGAAAGGATGAGTTCTTGGGCCGTTCGGAGAGAATGTGGGCTCGAGTAGAAATAGATTTCGGAGAGCAAATATCAAAAATTAAGTGACATCGATGCACTATGAAAATGTGCATAATTTGGCAAAAAACTGGTATTTTATTATTACCTCCACTAAAGTTTGGAAATAGTTTTTCACCCGACAAGATTTCAATTTGTCACCGATTGGTATCAAATTCTAGTACAATGATGTATTAAGTGGAGACCGTACAAGTTGCATAAAATCATTTTTGCACGGCCCCTCAAGGAGAAAGTATGAGCAAAAAGAGCATGTCCCTTCCACGTCCACCATTTATTTCCCCAGGGGCAAAATGAGTCAAAAGTGATCTTTCTCGGTTTGTAGAGCAAGTTGTCCGTACAAGAAATCGAATTTATTACCAGAGTTATTGGATACAGCGGAGTGAGACGGTACACAAAGCGTGTGATGGATTTTTGGCGAATTTCTGATGACCCAAAAGTCCCATGAAAGCCTTGACCACGTGCTTTACGTAGCGTCCCAAATGAAATTCGGTCCGACCGAGAAGGTTTTTGAAATTAGCAAAAAACTGGTCAACTTCTCTCTCACACTTTATTTGAAATCGAGATTTATGGGTTTATTGAATTTTTGACAGACGGATATCAAATTATTGCTGTGGGACTCGAACGAGTGTAAATATGTCAGCGGTAGTGTAACGTACATAATCACCAAGTACTCATCCCAGATAAGATCACGTGTTGAAGATAAGGTCCATAAAAGCGATAAGTCATTCACCCATCTTTTTCTCTCTGGAGAAAGTTATCGAGTTGGGCAATATCTCAGGGGGACGTGCAAAAATGATCGCTTTTACATGTCGCCTCAGCTTGACCTAGTAACACATCGAGAGATCCAAAATTTGCTAAATTGAGTCTTCCAAGTCCTTTATGCAAGGCCCCTTTAAAACAAAAAAAGGACTGGTCCAGAAAGAGCAAAGATCACGAGATATTTCCATTCTGACCACGTAGAGAGGACGAAAACTTTCCCAATTTCGTTCACATCGACACCTTCTCACACAAAAAAAAACTTGCGGAAAAAATGTTATCATGAATTTCTTAAGTATGCTTTATAAGACATGCTTAAAAATTATTGTAGAAAGTATACTTTCAACAAGAATTTCTGAAATTATAATTATTATGAACTGCGATAAGTTCCATTTGTCACCTAATTTTTCTATTATGATTCAGTATATTTGCAAATTACTTATTTTTGGAGTTTAAATCATACGAGGAGAAAGTTGGTGACCAATATTTTTTTAAAGTAGCATTTTCATTCAGTATCAATTTCCAATTGTAAGTTACAATTTGAAGCTTTTCGACTGATTTATAAAACCAGTGAGAGTCGGCTATCCAATTGAAGGAAGGATGCCTCGTTATTTTTAGAAGTTTGACTACTTTCACTTTCACGACTTTTACTACTTCCATTTTTATAGAAATTCGTATTTAAATTCAATTTCTTAAGTTTGAGGTGCAAAGGTGTAAAATAAGGTGAAATCGAAAGAAGTAAAAAGAGGAAAAAGTTAGTCAAAGAGTTTTCTACGGTCGCGTAAAATGAGACATAATAGTTGAAATAAGAAACTTATCTGCACTCGTTTTAGTATCGAGGGAAAAAGTTTTTGCAAAAAATACTTGCATGCAAAAAATTTCAGAATTATCAAGTAAGGTCGAAATTACGATGAAATTCAAATTACTCAGGTTTGTATCACGCAGAGGAATTTACGCTCTAGTTTTACAAATATCAATACAATCTTCATTCACCTACATTAAATCTGCATTTCTGCTTTAATTTTGTATAAAAGTTTCATCCGGCAACAAAATCCAACAACGAACTTGAACGAACTAATTCAAATGCAAATATTTTTTAAAATTTAGTTTGACAAAAAAATTCGTGACATTTCATTTATTTTCACATTTCATGTTAGCACATTACTGCACAAATAAATTTGACCCGTGACTTATTTCTTCCAGGAACACATCTCTCTCTTCATCCTCCACGGTTTCGAAACGCTCGACCTCTTCAAAGAACTCGAGGAGGAAGACTTGGACCGTTTGGGCATCCAGCTGGACACCCATCGGGGCAAAATCCTCACCGCAGTGCAGCTTTTACGCGAATACGATACCGATTCCTCCTCCGGAGTCACTGGCGTCCCGCCGGGGTCAACACCACCCCCAACGTATTATGCAATCCAACCACAACCAGACGTCACGGAGGACGAAATTCGACCCCCGGCGCAAACACTGTATCAATACCAGTACTATCAACAGAGTACGACGCCCGGAAATAAAAGTCTGGCCGGAAGTGAGGACAGGAATGATGATGATGATGAGGTATGGTCAAAAAAGTTGAGATAAAAGTTGACGCGAATAATCAAGCAAAATTTCACGCGTTTCCAATTTTTTATGAAAATTTTTAAACATAACTTTGCAAAAATTTACTCGATCTCAAACATCGGAGTGAATTGTCTCAATATGAAAACTTATAAATCAAGTATTTAATTTACCGATATCAATTTTTACCAAAATTTCAAGACAAACTGCTAATTTTAATATATAGAATTTACAAAAAAAATTAAGTTGAGACCTTTTTCTCGACAGGAATGCAACGTGACCACCACCGCGGTTCAGATACATCAACCCGTCAATCGTTCCAATTTCGAAGGAGGTCAACCCACTGACCTCTCCTTGACCTCGTCACAAGGTCACGGGGACGACAACCCCACCGACGAGATCATCCTCTCCCCTACAAACCTCTCTGCAACCAATAATCGGTACACGTCTTCACCCCGAATGACGATCAAAAGTCAGGTCGACCTGGCTGCCGGAAGAAACCGCTTCCTCCAAGCAAAATCGCTCTTCGAATCCAACGGATTTCCAAACATGCTGCTCAACAAGGCTGGTGGGGCAGATAAGCATAATTACGACAACATTGACGATAAGCAGCCCCCAGTCGTGCAAAGAATCCCAAGGAAATCCGGTACAAATTCGCCTCCACGAAGCGAGTACAGATCTTAAAATGAGGAGAGTCTGACTACTATGTAAATATTTGAGGATGATAAGTGTATGAATGATTATAATAATTAACTAATTATTAACCAAACTAAACATGTCATTAATTACTTAATTGCAATCCCAATAAAAACTCCAACCAACACAATTTTTGAAAGTAAAGCCAATTAAAAGTGGAATTTATTTTCTTGACTCTCGAATTATTCATCGAATTTGGAAACAAGATTTCAATTTTGAACAGTTTTTTTTCGAATCACAAAAATTCAAACAGATCAAAATTTTGACACAATTGAAATAATTTAAGAAAAATTGTACAAATTTCTTGATGAAAAAAATACTTGAATTTTGGAACAAAAAATTACTAAAAAATACGAAATTCGTAATAAATAGTAATGTAGTAGCAAAGTAATAGTAATTTCGTGATTGGTCGCCAGTTCGTCGATAAGTTTCTTCTTATCTTCGTCCACGAGTGGATAAGCCCTGGGGTACTTTTGCAAAATTTCGCCTAACAGGACTGATTATTCACTTGTTAACATTAAGAAGAAAATTATTAAGACGGAGGCGATTAAGTTAACATTGTTCTTAGAACGTATCAAAGGATTTTAGTTTTTGCAATTAATGGTTGTACAATTGCAAATTTGTTTTGCATTTAATTCCGACAAGTTGGAAACAGTGGTAAATTCTAGATTGAGAAAAAATCGCAACTTTTTCGATAATTTAACCGGGAAATTTCTAATTTTATGAACAAAATTGAGGAAATTTTAACACAATTTTCTATTTGCTTGCATGCAGTTTTTAGAGTAATCATTTTGGGTGGAGGAAAGGTTGGTTCAGTGTCGGTTGTTTCATTTTGCGTGGTTTTGTTCCTTGTTGTTCCCTTCGCCGTGTTCCTCACCGTCCTGGTGGAAGGAGGCGACGTAAAGGGCCTTGTCGATTTCCTGGTGGAACATAAAAAAAACATAAATTAGTGGGGTTTGACAATTTTAGAAAAAAAGTAAGGTAAATTTTCAAGTCTATTTTTCTTGTAATTGGGAACCAAATATTAATAATTTTAAGGTTAATGCTGTGAATCAATATCCCATAAAATTGCATAAGTCATAAAATTATAGAGACTTCAAATCATAAAATGGAAACATGACACGAAATGTGGCCCGCATAAAGTATTTTACTGACTGACTAAACAGCACATATTGAAATTCTAATTAGGTCTGATATGTAAATTAAGTTGGATACAAAGTTGAAGTTGGAAAGAAACTGATCTAATCTGAATTCCAAGAATTTGAGAATCAGAAATTTGCACATCTTGAGTTCGCTCACCTTTGGAATGGGCTTGATCTCCGTTCCAAGTTCGGCCTCGATCTTTTGAAGGTTGAACCTGTCCTCATAAGTGATAAGGTTGATGGCAATCCCCAAGTGGCCATATCGCCCGGATCGCCCAATTCGGTGCAAATAGGTCTCGCTCATCTTGGGAAAGTCAAAGTTTATCACCACATTCACAGCTTGGATGTCGATACCTCGCGTGAACAGGTCTGCAAAACAAAATTATGACGACAAATTAGCACAAATGAGAGTAGTTTTAACAAATATTGGCCTAAACTTCCCCCAAGAAACTAATTTTAAGCATGACTCCAAACCACAATGTCGCGATTTAAAAAAATCAAACAGAAATTACTGAAATTTCTGTTCCCATCTAAAAATCTAGCATTTTCTTTGTCCCTTAACGCATGGCATTCGTAGATAACATTTTTATCCAAATTTACCCACCCGAGCAGACGAGGTTGCGACAGTGACCTTTCCTAAAGTCGTGAAATACTCGATTTCTATCGGCTTGGTTCATCCGGGCGTGAATGTAGTAACAGGCGTAACCCAGGTCGGTAATCTTCTTGGCGAGGAGTTCAACGCGCTGGGTCGAGTTGCAGAAAATGATGGACTGGTTGATTTCCAATTTAGAAAAGAGCGTGTTCAAACAGTGGACCTTTTGACGTTCCTGGACGAAGGCGTAGTATTGTGTCACCCCCTTCAGCGTCAGCTCGTCCATCAAGTTAATCTTGTACGGGTCGATTGCGTGCTTTTTCTGTTCAAAAGGTATAATAAAACTTCATTAATTTCAGCCACATTTTCAAATAAATTGTTTAAATAAACTTTGAGATTGATACATTATTTCTAAGTAAAATTTTGAAAATGCAAAGTAAATTTAGGATTGGAAGAATCCAAAATCTTGAAATATCACTAACCATAAATGATTCAACCGTGATAGGGAAGGTAGCAGAAAAGAGGAGAATTTGCCTCTTGTTGGGCAGGAATGAGATGAGCTTATCCAACATCCGATTAAAGTCTTGTGATAAGAGCTTATCCGCCTCGTCCAAAACCAACATTTTGCACTGGTCCATCTTGCATACATTCTTCTCCATTAAATCGATTATTCTCCCTGGAGTCGCGATTATCACGTGAACTACGCCACAAAAAAATTATCCAAATTAGAGACACTGAAATTGGTTACAACTAAATAAAATTGGCAAGCTCATCAACCAACCTTTCTGGTAGACCCGGATGATATCGTCCTTCAATCCAGTTCCTCCGGTTGTGACCATGACCTTGACTTGGAGATGCTTGGCCAAATCAGTACAAATCTGGCTTACTTGTAGCGCCAGTTCTCTCGTAGGGACGACTATCAGACCTAGAAAAATAATATACATGTATAAAAATCAATAATCTGTAGCAAAAATTTCTATAAAATTCATGGTCCTTATCTTACCCTGAATTGCATCTAAAGTGGGATCAATCCTTTCCAGGAGGGGAATAGAATACGCCCCCGTCTTTCCTGTTCCATTTTTCGCCCTGGCCAAAATATCCCGACCTGAGAGCGCCATAGGGATCGACGCCTCTTGAATTGGGGATGGTTTCTCCCATCCCATTTCGAAAATTCCCATCAAAAGCTCCCTGAAATTGAAAAAAAGTCAACACAAATTAGTCAAAATTCCTCAAACTTAACAGACTACCTCAAAAAAATCATCAACAACTTAAAACCTGGGCAAAAATAGTCTCTAAATTTGAAACTCTCAGCCCAAAATGCACGAAAAATGACTAAATTTTCACTAAAAATCTCCCCACTTGCGCCCCACATTATCTTCTTACCTCGTCAAGCAAAAATCTTCAAATTCCTTCCCCTCCCTATCCGTGACATCACTAGTCCGCATCCTATTATCTTTTGGGGGTAGATTTAACTGCGCTTTCCAATCTCCTCCCCCTCCGCCTCCATTGTTTTCCGAGGACAGCATCATTTTCGCTTTCAGAGCCGCCGCCAAATCCGCATCGACCACCCCGTTATTTGTCACCACGGCTGTCGACATGTCGAAAAAACTTATATTTTTACTTTCTCTTCTTGCTTCTTGTTTCGATGATAACTTTAAAGTGAGCCCCACGTCAGCAGAATCCAGTCCTTTTATCACTTCTGGGTTCTCATTTAACTAACTATTCATTTACTAACTAGTAGAGGTCAATCACGCAAATTAGGCGACAGGCTGCTTCTTCTGGTCTGAACATTCCTGTTTCTCGTTGCTATCTAATATTTATTTAAATTAACTCCTATTTAGATTTAAATAATATCCAGTCCACTCTCCTGACTCTTGTCCAAGTGCTGAACTGAAACACACTGTGTCTCTACACTCTTAGAAATAATTTTACTTTTTTGAAAAGCAAGTGCACTTTTTACTCCATATGAAGTAAGGTTTACTCCGTATCAAGAAGCGTTACTCTGGATTTAGTAAACTTGACTTCATATGGAGTAAAAAGTGCACTTGCTTTTCAAAAAAGTAAAATTATTTCTAAGTGTGTACTGTAAGTTGAGTTCAACACTTGGACTACCTGACTCACCACTAAATATCTCGACAAGTATTTCAACTTGTTGGCATTAAAATATTTAATTAATATTTAAATATTACGACGATCTTCTTTCTAGTTTCGTATCGCGGCCGTAAAAGTCAGATGAAGATGAAAAATTGTATTTGTTTTAAATATTTTTGTTTTGAGATCCTCTGCGACGATTAAAATTAATTTTAGTTTAATTTAATGTGAGTTATCGATCGTATCGTATCAGAAAAAACTTGATGTGATGGTTGACATAAGTTTCGAAAAACCGTCGTGTGTATCTTGTCTTGATGTCAAGCTTTTTGATAACTTTTTTCATCAATTTTTGTAATTTTAAAATCAATTTCAATTTCTTTTATGATAAAATTTTATCTTTTTTCTTTCCTTTGCTTTGTCCTTCGTGAAATGCGATGGCTGTTTTGTAAACTGTAAAAGGGTTCGTTTCGTGTAATCAGAGACAGAATTTTCTTGCAATGATGTAGAGCCGACAGTTTTTTTTACGGAATAGACTCCGTGATGGCGGAGCTAGTGTGGAGCAAGGCTGGTAGGGAGAGGCACTGGTTAGGTTGTAGGGCGAAATGTGGGGAATTATTTGCAAATTTTTGGGAATGTGAGATTTTGCGAAAATTTTGAGAAAGTAAAAAGATTGGATAAAGTTTTGCATGCATGTAGGAATGGGTGGGAAAGATGAGATTTTTTGTAGAGTAAAGCATTTGCAACATTTTATCAACATTTGGGGAAAATGAGATTTTGCAGCTTTATGTATGTTTTTACAAAATCTCGCCCATTTTTGTAGATTTTGAAGTTTTTAAATCGTAGTAGATGAGATTTTGCAAACATAAATTTGCATCGAAGAATTTAGTTAAATACTTGTTATTTATGGAAAGAATGTGTGATTTTGAAGAATTGTGTTGCAAACATGTTTAACATGAAGGATAAATCACGGGTTTGACAAAAGTGTCCAGTCAAATTCACATTCTTACATATCTGGTCAAACAGGGCAACAAACTCGTCTTAATTTCCATACCATTTCCATCCTACCTTTTGAATGCCGGGATGCATAATAGAATTCTCTAACAATGTAAGCGATGTAAATCAAGTCAAGTCATCTTTTATTCAAGTGTCAACAGATATCGACTGATTACAAATATTTGGTTACAACCATGACACAATGTTACATAAATTATGAAAAAGCAACTAATCTAAACAACCGAGAAAACATGTAAAATTTTAAATATTTAAACTACATTCAGTTAGTAAATTTTAAATTTACGGCAATAATGGGACACAACTTATTGTAAGAAATATTAAAATATTTCATGTTCTTTGGATTGAGTTCCATGGTTTATAGTTAGTTTATAGCTCTGACTCTTAAAACATTGACCCCTAAAGCCGTGCGATATATGTAATTATGTACGAGCTATATAGGGACCATGAGCTTTTAAAAGAAGTCTCTGTTTTATTCCATCCCCGGAGAGATTAAACCTTCCGATTCTGTGCTCGACACCAGGGCGAAATTACGGTCGCGATCACGGTCGCTCTACAATATGATTAAATTAGTTAACAAAAAAATTAATTGTGCTTCTTTTTATTAACTTTTACCTGCAAAGAGGGCGACGTCCTTTTATTAGTATAAGCCTGTCGTGGCACGGGCATCCATTTGCTTGCACTTCCCTCTTTGTTCTGACTATAATTATTGCATCGCAACATCTGTGCGACTTGTTCCGTGATTGAGCGCGGGGTCGATGTTACGCCGAGGTCATCCTCATTCCGGGGTTTATCTTCGCCTCCATTAGGGTTATCTTGTTGGAGGGAGATAAGCTTGGACATTTTTTCTAAACAATTTTTACACTGGAGGAAGAGATCCGATTCTTTCTCGGTGTCGGAAACGTTATCGTCGGACGTTTGCATGACCTTGTCTTCCATTCCGGGAGATGTTAAGCGGTAAAATTCAGCCGTAAAATCCAACTCAGCCCCGACGACGACGGGTGTCGCAAGAGATGGCGACGGACTGGGGAGTAGATTCGCCTGCTCGAGGTATGAGGTTCGCTTCGATTTCGTCCACGTGGATGAATCAACGATGCTGGGGGATTTTTTGGGGGTCGTTTTTGTTGTCGGTGTCTCCCAAATTTCCATGTCTCGCGAAAGACGTGACTTTGGGGGGAGGACGACATCTAAGGTTTCTGACGATGAGGTCACAATCATCGCAGGAATCTAAAATATTTACAGAACCAAATCAATTAAATTATCCATAGTTTCAACCCGGTAAGTCCCTTCTGCTTTCTCACATTTTTGTTTGTACTGGGGCCGCCATTTCCTGTTCGAACGAGGCCATCCCAATCCCAACTCCACGCCGATAACTCGTCGTCATCCGCGCCAGCTTCTTGTTGTTCATGACGCATATCGTCCAAACGCATCCACCGCTGAACCAAGTCTTGTTCATCGACTTCGTCGCCACACCATGGCGCTGGTTTCTTCTGGTCTTTACTTCTACTCGCATCCTTCTTCTTGGTCAATCTGGGTGTCGAAAAGGTCGATGAGGTGTCCGTCGTAGTTCCTCCCGGTGCCGTGTAGTATGTCGAATCAGAACCGGATGTGCGTGAATATGGGTAGGGTACGAGGGTGGACTCGCTTCCGGATGAAGACACCTCAATGGGGAGAAAAAGAATGTCCGAATCGTCGGAATCCTCTAAAAGAACAGCGCCTCCTGTGTCACCGGATACTTGTGAAGATGAAAAGCGAATCTCAGTCGGAAGACCGTGTACAATGCGGACGTTTTCTTTCGTCGTCGTGATCGAGGCGGGGGACGCGATTGTTGCAGTGGCGAATGTGCGAGTACCCGAAGTTGGGGAAGGGGACGATTTTGCTACGGATTTAACCTTCTTGGTCCAGGTTCCAGAATTAGGTTCGGATGGGGGTCGTATTTCGCCAAGTTTCTTGGGTCGGGTAAATGTCGCCGTGGAGGCGGAGGAAGACGTTGTAGGGACAAGAGGATCAAGTTGGGCGTCTATGGCGCCATTGGACATGGTCGAGTAACCCTCGTCCTTGGGAGGAAGGCTGGTTGGGCCAGCAGATGGGATGCCGCATCCTGTGAGGAAACGTTTATTATCGATGATAAGTGAGGTCGGGGCCGTGGTGGTAAGAGGTGCCGTTGTGGCTTTTTTGTTCTGTTTGGAAGAAGGTAAGAAGGATAACGACGTTGGCGGTGGGACGGAAGTCGAAGGACCACTCGAACTGTAAGATTTTCTAACGGGAAGCTTGCTCATTTTGGGTTTCGACTTGGAGACGGGAGTAGTTTTGGGAGGATGTGTGGTCGCTGAGGATGCGGGGGTTGAAACGACGGTGGCGGTGGTACTAGGGCCCGAAGCATGGCGAAAGAATGGTATGCGGCATTCAGTAGATAATGGTTTTTGTGAAGAATTTGGCGTCACTTTACTAGCAGAATTTAGAGACCCTGCAGTTTTCTGCGGAACGTTCGCCACGCAACCAGTTTTCTTACTTGGGACGGAACTTGATTTATTAAAATTCCTCTCTTTCGACATCATTCCTGGCGTGGTATTAATCTTGCTCGGTGTGGTTTTTGAGGCTTGTCGCATCTTTGTCGGCTTGATGTTACTCTCCTCCTCAGATGATGATGATGACACTGGGGGTGACACGACTTTAATTGGAGACGTCGACGCGTTGCTTGTCGCCTTCTTTAAGGACGAGTTCGGCGATGGCGATCTTTCCTTTGTGAGACGTATCTGCACCACACAATGATAACGCCATTAGAACTTACATGTTAATATCAATCACGTGGCCACACTTGTAATTTTTTGATAATATCTTACCAGTGTTGGTAATATAATATTCGCCAACGCCTTGTTATGGGTCTCTAACGTATTAACCCGCACATGAAGTCCCTCCAAATCCGCGACTAACCGTTCTTGACGCCCAACCGATGCGGCGACTTCTTCTTTCAAAGCGGAAACGACTGGGGCAAGAGAGGGTACTGTTTTCGACACGGATTCCAAATCTGCTAATCGTTGCAGAATGGCGACGTCTCCTTTGGAAGGGCAATTCTTCACGTTTTTAGTCCCGTTTTGCTTATCGATGACTCCCTGAAATAATAGAGAACATATGCTATATAAAATCACACTTATCAATTTACTTGTCAAGTTTAAAGTTATTTCTACCATTTGCTGCTGCGGCCCACACCACGAATGTCTCGACTCGCCTGTGAGGTGCTGTCCCCACCGAATCTGCGATTCTGCCCCGGGATGTAGTTCGATTCGCCCAGAGTTGACGTGGATGAATTCCACAGGCGGCAGTGAAGGGGGGTGGTTTGTGCCCTTGCGCCCACCCGGCGTCGTCGTGGTGGGTCCAAGTAGTGATAAGGACGGCGGGGGCGGAGTTGGCGACACTTTTTCCTTGTTCGTGTCTTTCGTGTCTGAGCATCTGCAAATGGACAATGATGACACAACGTTATTAATTGTTTGCTTACATTTAACTGTTATAAAAACAAGCAATTAGTAAATATTTAGTAAAAAATTATGGACCCGTGCCATCGTCATCAGTGTGTTAGTAATTTGCAGGAGGACAAACACGAATAATTTTGTATACTTATTGTTTTAGCGTTTTTTATTACTCCATCTTCTTCGCTTTTCGAAATTTGATACTCCAGCAGGCGATGATAAGTGTGGCAGATAGAAAGAATAATAAATATTTAACTAACTAACTGTACCCAGCAGCTGTTCACATCTTGCATAATATTTAACTAACTACGAGAAAGAAAATCATACTGGTAATCGATCCTCCTCCCTCAAACTTTACAAGATCAAATTATACTTAAAATACGTCAAGACAAGACTTTTTATTTTTAGTATCAACAGTTAGTCAACTATTAATATATTTAAATAAACCAAACACTTTAACAATCCAGTCCCACACAAAAAAACACAACCTGCTGCACTTCCCCCTCCCGATAACATCAATCTAATAATCCAAGTGATATGATAACCACTTGACCTTATAACATACTGAATTAACTTAAAATCATTTAACTTTAATTAATTAATCAATAATTTTAAAAAAACTGGTGTAAACGCGTCAAACAAAAAAATTCCCATCCACCGTCACCGTCTGTCTCTCTGTCTGGAGAAACTTAAATAAATATCCTCACCCACTTTAACTTTAACTCACTTTAACTTTAACACGGATATAAAATCAGAACAAACAATTTCGTAACTTCTTAACTATTCAAGTGAACGGATGGCATTGATATTAACGAAATTTCATTCAGAGACGCATGCCATGCCAAGAAAGATATCCAAAATCCAACCCACCACCAAAAACCAACCATTAACTTTAACTATGCCATACCACACACTTTGCTATTTAACTACTGGATATCATAGTTAGTAAATTCGTTCGCTGAATAAATGGTGATGACTTGTTTTTCATTTTTTACCGTGTGGGCAGTTATGGCATTGACTCTGCTTTTATTGGACAAGCAAGTTGCACTTCGTACAAGAAGAATTCTTCTTTCGTTTTGTTTTACTTTTATACGCGATTAAAAACAACAATTAAAATTAAACATGGACATGTTACACTAGAAGAGATGTAGATATGTACCTCCTGTAACGATTTGCTAAATTGAATTAATTGTGTGTGCATGTAAAGTTTAGTACTTGTCGCATGTTTTAAATGCATGAACAAATTAGCTAAATTGAATGTTAATATTTGCATGCAGTTGATTGACACCACATTTAAGGTTGATTGATTGAAAATTTCAGTTTCAAATATAATTAGTTATTGGTAGAGATTAGTCGAATCTAACGATTGAAATTAACTTTATATATCGTGTAAATTTCCTAAATTAGGCTTGTTTAACCTCCCTTGTAAACTCCCTTCCCTAATAAAAAAAATCAAATACAAAGACGCCCGTGATCTGATAAACATGAAAAAATTTGTAAACTCGTTTCGCTTGGAAATATTTGTAAGTTCATTTCGCTTGGAAATATTTGTAAGTTTGTAAAAGTTCGTAAGTTGCAATTTTACGGATTTTACAAAGCTAATGCAAAACATTGTCAAATTTATCTAACAATATGACAATAACAAAATAAGTCTCTAAAATCATAAAATGGTGTCACGATTTTACATAAAATTAAAATGTTTAAAACTATTTAATACTTACGCAATAATATATGTACTATTTCAAAAATTTCTAGGCAAAAACTGTTAATACCATTGAAAAAAATTGTGAAGAACAGTTTTTCATAGATTTGACCAAAAATTTACTTTCTTTCGCATAAAGCGAGTGATCTAGATATTTTCGGAGAATTTTAAGCCTTTTTCAAAGCAGTATACCAATGTTCCGATATGCCTAATTAATAACTGCAAATTACTAACCCAATTCTTTCTTAAAAAATATTTTTTTCATAATTTCACTAATTTCAGAAATTTCAAAATGGCATTTGTTTGTATGTATGTTTGTTTATCTTTTATTCATATGTATGTCCAAAGAGATCAATTCATTATAAATATGGCGTTCAAGTCATACACAAAAGTAGACCACTCAAATTCACGATTTGCAATTTGCAAATTGCAAAATTTGCACTAAATAAGTACATTGATTTAAAAAATAAAACACTTAAAAAATTAGCAGACTTACTTTTTATTTGATTTCCACCTCCGTTTAATAGCTCCCAGCATTTCAATAGCGTCGTTAAATTGTTCTCCAGTGCATAGGTCGTCTCCAATTGGTCAACATATTATTTATCCACCCTCACTTTTTAATTATTATGTTTTCCTACCAATTAATTAATTTTAAATTAAAAATCCTCTCTACATACGTTTTTCAAGATATTTTGTAATTTTGTCTATTTTATTTTTTATTCTTTCTACCTTCTTAACAGACTTTCTAACTCCACGACAATTTTTACTGTATTAAAATTTATCTCAATAAATATTGCACATTGATTTAATTATGTCCTCATTTTTATTTTCCTCCCTACTTAGCAAGTATGCAAATTAAGTAATATCATGGATCCCTGAACACTAAATATGGACGGATTTTCGTTCCCTTTCTTTTTTTATTTCCTTTATTGTGCATAATTCATATTTGAGCTCAATTTCGTCCCCTTAAAGGATTTGACAGTCTTCTTATCGCCAAATAATAAATGACGATTCATGTATTATTGTCCTTTTAAGTCTTTGTTGTGCGTACGCGATTTTCTTTGTTTTGTTTGTTGTAGACGACAATAGAAATTTTTTATGGGAGAAAAATTTCATGAAGAAATTAAATCGTTAAGTTTTTACGGGTTTATTATTTTAGGAAACCGTCGTTATTTTCTTATGATTGTATGAAAAAAAATTTCTAAAATTAAGAATTTGCGTAGTGGATTTATTTTTAAAATATTTATTTGTTGATTGTAATTTTGTGACAAAATTCAGTTATAATTTGACTGGATTTTTTTTAGTATTTCATACCAATAAAAATCGGCTTTTGTTCGTAGTGATTTTTTTATTGCACACAAACAGAATTTTTAATAAATTTGATTGCAAAAATTTCTTAAGAAATTAAAACTTTTTCATTATTTTAACCTTTTCGGGGGATAATTCACATATATAAATTATTAATAACAAAAATTAAATTTTAATTTATTTCTCACACTTTACTCTTAATTTGATTTGTTCATTTTTTGATTAAACTTTTTCTTTGGATTTCTCTCAATTTAAAATTTGAATCGGCTTATTTTCATATAAAACTTTGGTCTTCTTATTTCAGTCAAAAGCTTTGAGCTTTTCTTGTAAAAAAAACACTTCTTGACTAGATTTCTTTTCTGTTTTACTTTCAAAAATGCAGCAGCAGCAAGAGCAGCACGTTTATTACGGAAAGTACAGCAAATTTGGCAGTGTTTTAAAATACTTTAAAAATTTCTAGAGATTTTGTATGCAGCTGTAAAGTAAAAGTGGCAAGTAAGCGAAAATCTTGCCTTCTTTTTACTACTTTCCTATGTAAGTAACTTGACGGCAAAGAAGAAGATGACGATTTTTGTTATTATTATTATTATAAGCACTTCTTCCCTGAAGAAGAAGTGGATTGAACTTGAAAGGATATCAGCAGCAGCAGCAGCAAGCAGCACACGACGAGCAATAGATAGGATGAAAACCAAGGGGGATAAAATCCAAGTTTATGTGCATTACGCACATTCGTATGTGCCGTGGTTTCATGGCCACTCTAAAAAAATTGAGAATAATTTGTTACCGGAGAGAATTACATGATATGATTTACCGCTTTGTGATGTCGGCTTGGTTGTAGATTGTACCGGTTTAGTAAGGTTTTGTTAAAGAGTTGAATGCCGGCGTATGTTATGATGTCAGTTTATTACTAGTCTGTTACCCGTGTGGTAATAATTTGTTATTCCGTTTAGTCATAATTTTCTAGTAGATATGTAATGGTGTAACTGTTACTGGACTGGAAAATTATTTTTCCTAAGTTTCACACCGTTTTTGAAAATTTTCTCAAATTGTGTAACCAAACTTTATTTATAGGTACTTATCCATCAGGTCTGTGTATATTAAGGAAATATAAATTTTGTTTCGTTTTATAGAAATGTTAGAGCTTAATTGTCTTCCAGTTTAACTCATCGTTAATGGCTTGCCAATCAAATTAATCAATTTATTGTAGAAATATTACTACATTTTTTTTACGGTAAAATTTCTATCGATATAAATAGATGATTCTGTACATATTCATATACATATAGCGCCTAAATATGCAAATTAAAAAATTAATGTAAACGATATGAATAAGAATTGAAGATAATTTAATTATTAATATAATTAAGCAAACGAAATAAATATTTTCTTTCGCCATAATAATTGCAACCCATCAATTGGACAAACACACATTTAAGCCGGTTTAACATTCATCTCATCACCGTTCGGAATCTGCAATTCTCCTTGGCAGATTATTAAGCGTGTATATTCGTAAAGTGGCTCGCCATCGACTTTCATCTCGGTTTGGCTACTTTACATCACAAGAGAGAGAGTTTTACCAAGTCTTCACATCCTCCCCCAACCGATGCCACTGCCAGGGTTGATTTTGGTCTGGTTTCATATAAAAGACGGAAATAGGGAGGATTTGGATATGCACACACGATACGACGATATGCATTTTCTACATGAAGCCATCCAAGCAAACCAAACCACACACAAAAAACAACCCTCTTCTTCTCTCCATCCTTCCACATTTTGTGCAGGAAAATAAAACTTGTCCAAGTTTTTTCCCCTCAAGCTTATACACGAACAGGGTTCGTAAAATGCAGGGATTTTTTTTACCGTAAATTGACCTGTTCTTTTTATGAAAAACTTTAAACAGTGTGGTAGTAGTAATAAACTTTTACCGGGGGATATGGTAGGCAGCACCGTGGGAAGGGAAATTCTGATTTGTTATCAATTTAACGGTTTACCAATAACAAAATAATAATTGTGTCCTTACGAGATCTGTATTGTGCAGATCAAGTTATCTGTATTCGTCTAAAATATTTAGCATACATTTCAAATATTAAAGTTCGGATTAAAACTTTGACAAAAATAAATACATTTCTAAAACTTTCAAAGAAAGGTTTTTTAATAAAAATAATAGCATGCAATTTGCACCACGTGGCTAATAAGCAATATATTTTCCTAAATTATTTACACTTCTGAATTGGAGTAACGTATCTCCCTTTTCAATTGGCATTATTAACGTATCATGCATGTTGTCATTTGCAGATCTAAAAAGCATGTTGAGTTTGATATTCTTGTCCTCAAATCCTTGTTCCTTGCACAATCTTACCAAGGACTTACCAAGGACTAGGCATGCGAGATGTAGCATGCAATTGAATTGTGAGGGATGGCAGTAAAATTTCCTGAAAATGCTTTGTCCTACCGTAGATTTATGGTTACATAAAGTCACAAAGAAACTTAAAATTTCAAAAAATCTGAACAAATATTTCAGCATTTTAAGTACGAACCCTAATCTTACACCCGTACATGCATAACTTTCCTGGCGAGTTTTTCCCAGCCTGAAAGAAATGATATTAAGAAGACGACTTAAGAAGAAGTGCATGATCATGAATGCGTTCAGGATGAAATGAGCCATGGGAATTTTTCGTTAGAAATAAAATCCAGCTAAATATACGAAGAAGCAAGTCGAGCTGAGATTTAGAAATGATTTTTTCTGACGTTAAAAGTTTTTAGTCCAATTCTTTAATAGGATTAGATTTGTAAAAGTTAAAAGTGTGCATGCATGGCGTCAGGGGTTCGAAGGCGGATAGATTTATGGGGACAAATTTGTCGAAGTGTGTACAGATTTTTTTTCCTGGAAATAAATGAAGAGATAAGGATAATCTTGTAGAGAGAGAGAGAAGCAATTCACACAGACGTTTGTAAAATGTTTCCACAAGTTTACAAAGATTGCGGAAGAAAATAAAATTTTACGGAAAAATGCAATGAAAAATGATTTATTCATTCAAACTTTGTATGTATGTGGGTTTTGTATATAAAATTACTTTTTGTAGCAAATTATTTAAAACTGATACGAGTAAATTTAACTTTGCAATACAAAATCTATACGGTTTAACAACAATAGGTTTTCTTTCCTGTTTTTAATTCCTTGATCCCGAAATATGACTCTCAGAGCTTTAAAACTTTAACTTTTTTTATTAGATTTGACGCGAAAAAATACCAAGAAGCATGGACTAAAATCAGTGAATCAGGTGTTTGCCATGGCACTGGAGTGTTTGCCGAATTTCATAGGTTCGAGAGTAATCTGTGCATTATTAAATTCATCATTTGCAAAAAATCGGTTGGTTAGAAAATCGGTTGGGAAACCCAAAATGCAAAATATTTATGAGCAAAATAAAAATGTTGATATCATTTAAAAGTTTAGAGAAATTCGATTATCCACGTCACCTTTGTAACCTCGCAAATTATGCAAATTTTGTAAAATTAAATTGCACACTTACATAAAGTAGGGGACACCAAAGCTTCGTATGCATCATGTACGGTCCCTTCAATAAATGAATGAAATTTTAGGCTATAATTATCCCACTAAATTTTTCCCTTGCAAAAAGTAAACACCAATTTAGTTGCAGATCACGTCCATTAATTAGCTAATCGAAAACATCATCTCACATTTTTTTAGTTATTTAAGTTCATCATGATTATCTTTTAATCACTTCTCACATTCGAACCCAGTCAGCATGACAGACTTACAACGTATGTATGTGCAGACCCATTTAATGTACTCTTCATAAAGAATGTTTCCAAGTTTTTGAAAATTTTGACCCATTTTCGCCAATGACGATGCTAAAATTCGCATGCGAAACTATACGATGTCTTAACTTTGTACATTTTCAAACTATTGGCGTATTTTATGCACAGCACTGCATATCAAATATCTGTAATTAAAATATTTAGCAAAATTCCCCGCAGAAATCAGAGCGAGTTATTGCATAATTCGCTGAAAAGTGAATGGTACCAAATTTACACCTGTCTCGTAACCAGAGCGGATCGAAATGTAGTTATTTTTTATGTAATAATTGGGTGACTCCTATTTTTGGGTAAGAGTTTGACGCGAATGTTTGTAATGCAGTAAGTCCTTTAAATTTTATGAAATTATTTACAAAATTTTACAAAATGAAGAGACAGTCTTGTGTAACTTTACAATAAATTTATAGTCTGATCTTCCTTCATAACACATATTTGTAAATCGGTGGACACGTTTTTACGAGATTTTTATGGAATTGATTATTTTCTAACGAATTTTTACAAACTGGATGAAATTTGAATAATTAAAACGCCAAATTAAGGATTTTATACACAGTCATATTAAAATGCAACTTAGATTTCATCATTGTCTTTCGCCACACAACCACTTATAAAATTTATAATTATGTTTTTGTATTTTCCGACGCTTAAAGTTTCCAATTTTACAAATATTATAGAAAAATTATAAAATTATTATTATTATTTAATTATGCATTTATAAATTTGAAATTAACTTGTCACAATTTCATTATATTTCAACTTCAGAAGTCGTTTAGCCAAGTTTGTAAAGATTACCAAGGAAAATCAAGGTATATGCAAAAATATTGTAACCCTAAAAATAAACCAAGTTGGTCCAGCATGTTGATTGAAAATATTCCAATATCTCCATTTTGCCTCATGATAATTAAGAAACTCAACTTATTTGTCACCGTAATGATCTAAATTTTATTAAAAACTTGTCACAAAATTACAAAACAATTTCATATCAACTTTAACTCCACGAATTTCAAAATTCAATTACTAAATCTTAATTGGATTTATTTTGTAACGGCGTCTTGCATATTTATGTAGAATCTATTCAAATTCGCATCTCCGTTAACACGTCTGTATTCTCGTGATCTTGTGAAATGTCATGAAAGAATTAAAATAAAGAAGTATTTCCTAAACGACTTGTTAATGCGATGCATGAAGGATGTCGCGTGCCTCGACTTTTCTCAGAATAAGTCATCATGATAAAGTGGAAAAATTGAATTATATCAAAAATATGTCCCATTCTTTACGCACGGTCCGAAGTTTAAATTTGTCAGCAAAGGTTAAGTAACCGTGCAATTATTCAGTTACACCATATTCATTCTTCTATTGTACAAATTTTTGCAGTTAAATGTAACAAAAGTAAGGACATGTCCGTTATCTTCTTGAACAATTTGTTGTTTTTTGTACATAGTTGGTAGTTATTTTCAATTTCTACTAAATTTAAAGACAAGAAACTTTACAAATTAAAAAACAAAGTTACAGAGATCATTATGTTTCAATGCAACATTGTAAACTAGAAAATTTGCTAGTGTTGTAAAGCTTGTTTTAATTTAGCTGACACATTTTAATTAATTGTGTAACTTAATCGCCAAGTTTAAATTTTTAAATGTTCTTCGCAATAATTTCATGTTAGATCTATTATATTTTCGCTTTCCACAAAAAATAATCAAAGTTTTTAAATGTGTCTCTTCATTTTGTACCATTTTATAAAGTAATTTTACAAAGATGGATAACCCGTGATCTCTAAAAATTATTTTGTTCATATTTTTGATTTTCCATTTACCGTACCTTTTTGAAAATGACAAATACAAAAATAAAACTTGAAAGAAAAGTCATGACACACATTTTCCATTTGCCGTAATGATAAGTCGTGAAACACTTTTGGAGGAGTCAAATGTGTGTAAACTGCAGTTTTAAAAGGTTTACACAGGTTAAGCGGTTACAAAATTGACACAAAAAATGAAGTCCATAAACGCCATATTTATTTTTTTGTAATTTTCATTAAGTCACTAAATATGTAAAAGATTTCTTAATTGCAATCGAAATAAATCCATGTACTCGAACTCGAGTCTTTGTAACTCAAATAAAATCCAGTAACTAACAACGTTTACATAGATCAACGATTTCTATTCTTCTGATAAAACTTTGCAGTTAAATTTACAAAACGTGCAGAATTTACTGGGTTACGCGTACATATATATCTGCATGAATTAGCTTATCGACTGGTACTAAAAGCATGAATATTTATAAATATACTAGTATGAATAAAACCAGGGAAATCTTCTTAAAGGAAACTTACGGGAAACGTAAAGGTTTTCATGTTTTGTAAAATTTATTTAACGTGCTAACTCCAGTCGAAACTTTTGATTAGAAAGATTGAAAATTCAACCTGCAACAAGGCCTCTTCAATTGTCTATCATTATAAAGTTAAATTGGCATCATCTTTTAATACCTATATTACTTACATACTTGTCATTTTTTATCCAAAACATTTCTGTCTGTACTAAATCTGAACCCATTTTGTCTCACGAACCGCATGCCATCCATCCATCCATCAAAGAGAAAAATGCACAATGGCGAAAAGAACTGTTCACGGGAAACGAAGCGAATAGCGAAGCCACAAGACAACAATGGGATCGAGATCATTCATGCCGTTTCATGATTAAGTTCCACCAAAACGTCGACACTTTACTCGTAAAAAGAGGGCTGTGCAGGACGCACTTAATCAATACGAAGTCATCGGAAAGTCACCTCGCCAGGTGAAAATGGACATTAAATAATTTGGTAATAAGCGATATCACCGCGGGGTGATCTAAAATTATTGACTTCTGACTCCAAATCTGTACATGGTGTATAATACAAACTAGTTAATAAACGTTCAAAGCGGTGTTAAACTTGCACCATAAATTATTACCAAACTGGTAAAAACAAATTGCCGAAACTATCTAGTAGCAAAATATCACCGAACCGGTAAAATCATACATACTAGTACATCACACATGATGGGTACCACGTCATTACAAATTGTTAACACCTTCCGACGCACAAAAGTAGTAAAAATTGTGCAATTCCACATCCTTTACGCACTTTCTTCCACAAAAAGTACATGACTAACCACCCACGCAAGACAATACCTACAAATACTTGGCGATGACAATTACACCAAATCCACGCCATCCAATACACCCCCACCATTAAACCCCCACCCAGCCGGGGGACCTTACACGAGCCGTGTGATGGATTTATGAGGATTTTTACCATGTGGTTACAAATATGTGTCTCACCCCACAATTAATACGGAGTGGATACCCACACCCCCTTCAAATACGTATGTCGCACACTTTATGCACCGTCTCCAAGCCTTCCCTCACTCACTCACCATTTCCTTCCTCTCTCAAATTAAATCATGAACGAGTCGAGGTTTGGCCTGGCGTGCATAAAAAAGTGGCATTATTTTATTACCAAGTCAAATTTCCATCCTATTACTAAACCTGAGGTAACAATCATCAAAAAAATCTCGTCTCGTTACACACTTTTGCACATCCACCGTAACAAAAAAAACGAACAAATCTGTGTCTTGTTTTATTTTATTTTAGTGGCACTGACTCTGCAGCCAGTACAGAACGGGGGCTTGTTTGTCTGCATTTAGATAGCATTTTTTTAAAACGTGGTCATTATTATTATCGTTTTGTGGCTCATTTGCAAGAGTAGTGCTAATTTTTGAAACAGTTTGCGAAAAATACATATTTTAAATTATACTTTAAAATTTGTGACACAAATTATTGAAGATATATTAGATAGCAAATTTTGTCTCATTTGCGAAAACAGTGCAAAAATTGTGTTCGCAAATTTGTGTGTGAGACACAAATTACATATGTGCAAATTTGGCAGCATCAATAAAATAAAAGCAAACTAATTGCCACCGAGAAGGTGGAGACAAGCACGATAATTAATTTAGCATTGTTATTCATTCCAAGTTTATTTAACCAACAATGGAACAATAATATGTAATAAGTTGCATTGTTTTTGTTCACTCGTACAAAAACGAAAGGTGAAGTTGTATGGATTCAATTATTAAATACTTCTTAACCTGGTGCCAATTTGATAAAAATCTTGACAATACAACAGACCCGTCAGTGATGGAAGTTTATTATGCATTTTTGCGAGTTTTACTACCGTGAATAAACTCCAGTCGTGTTGGTGAAGGCATAATGATAAAATTGCAAACATTCATTAACTGTGATCTGTTTTTGTGGTTTAATTATTGATTTTGCTCTCTGGCAGCAGGAATAAATTAATTATTACGAGTTAATTAATAGTTAATTGCATTCCTAAATATTTTATTCGTCATCATCATCTCGATTGAGGTACAATTGTCCCGAAAATTGAGACAATTTCGACATAGTTGTGCTGACGAGTGCGTACTAATCTGCCTAATCCCGGCTTACGTACTACATACCTGACGCCAATTAAGACTAAAGTAATTCACCCACGTAAAACAAGTTGATAACAAAATTGCCACCGAGAGTTAGTAACAATTTATTACCACAGGACGGTAACAATAATTTCTTCTGATTTTCAAGTTTACAACCGCACTGGTAACTTCAAAGTAACCAAAACGGTAATGACTACATGACCACCCTCGGTGATAATTTTATTACCAACTTATTTTGCGTGCACCGTCTCAATTTTGTCGATTTCATAGCAATATATCACAAAAGGATTACGTCCCCTCGGTCCATTTTGGACACGCATTATTAAAAAAGATAAGCCTGCCTTATCAAGCGTCCAATAAGAGAGATAAGGATTCCTCCATCCATCCAATATTCACCTGGACAAATCCAATTCCAGACCACATCAAGTCACAGAGTTTCCCAGTGACAAAATCCATATCCACGTTAAATATTTTAATTATCGGAGAAGTTAACTAACTAATTCCACCAACGTCACTTTTGCCCCGTGGAATTTGTCATGGCTTAAAAAAAGTACTGTCAGTGATATCATTGTCAAACCATTTGACACTGAAAAAATGGACGATAGCATCTCTTGCCGAACTTATCTTATCGCATTTCGCGACATGTTGCAATTATTGATGAAATTATAAACCAGCAGTTTTGGAATTCGATTCGATTCGCACTTAACGGAGTTAAAATTCAATTTGTCATTCATCAAGGTCTCTTCTCCCGTACGTACTTTATTAATTTGCGAACAATAGAGTGAAAGTTACGTAAAAAATAATAAAATCAAAATTTCGAATTTTATTTCGAAATCGTAACCATGTTTCGTAAAAACAAGCATCAACAAAGCAACGGTAGTGCGCCGGTTCCACCCCCACGAGGAAATACAATGCCCCCGAAAGAACAGAATGGAAAACCGACTCGGAAGGATAAGTCCTTATCGAAGGAAAAGCCGCCAGTCGAGAATGAGGATGGGAGTGAAAAAATGGGGGGTGAAAGTAAGATGGGTGTGTCCAAACCGAAATTGATCTTCCACTGTCAGCAAGCCCATGGATCCCCGACCGGACTAATTTCAGAATTTGGAAATGTCAAACAGCTCTATCAAAAAATTTCGGAATGTTACGACTTCAATGTGGATGATGTAAGTGAGATTTGAAAATATTTTGAAAATTTATGTAGATTTTTTTCGAGTTTTTGTTCTACATGAGCTTTGAAATTGAAATATGTCAGCATTTTGTTTTTAAATAGTTTTGTAGATTTTAAAAATTGTTTCATAGTTTTATTTGATTAACAAGTTTTTCAATTTAATATATAAATTTTGAAGCTGGTTTTAAAAATAGATCGTTATGATTTTATAATTAATTTTGGACGTAACATTTTTCATACAATTTTTTACTCAAATTTGCATCCACACTGGTAAAAATTTCTTATGGAATAGTGGTAAATTATTACCAATGCGATAGAGTTTGCGCACTCTATCGATTGGCAGTGCTTACAATTTGGTTTTAATGAATGTGTGAATGACTTTTAATAATTCAAAATTTCCGGGAAATAGATTTGTGAAATACATTTCTTATAAAAAACGATTTTGGATTCATAATACAAATTTTAGTCTCTTTATTTTACTCCATTATTCGCAACTGATCTTTTCTTATCTCCAAATTTGAATCATTTGTTCCGTTCAGCTGCTAAAGTTTAGACCCAATAGTTAAATTTTTATTTATTTTGATTTAGGAAATATTTTTTTTAGATATACAAATCAGCAAATTGAACTTTAATTTCCTGTCCAATAACATTTTATATAATCAGAACATCATCCATACATCTTATTTGCACACTTTTGCTAGTTAAATAAAATCTTCCGATAAAAAACTTTCCGATCCGACAAATTTTGTAAAAACAGCGATAAATTTTTATTTACAAAATGTTTTTAAAAAATCCTATTTTTAACTTGTTTTTATCAAATATACATTCTTGTTAGTAAGCAATTTACATGAAGAAGAGACAATGAACTTGCTGTCGCTTTTAAAATGCGGTATCTCATTTCCGGTCCGGTAGTTGCATTTTATTGAATTGCATGTAACCAGTTGCATCATGCACTTCCGGTATTTCTTCACGCATTATCTCATGAAAATAGAAATGGGATGATAAATAAATAAATATGACACAATAACAAAAATCCGGATGCTATAATGGACCGCAGGAAATAATGGACAATTCACTTTATACATTTTTCAAACTTTTAAGGAGACACATTTGAGCTGTGAAAGTTTGTAATTTTTCTCTTCGTAATAAGCTTTGTAAACTTGTAGAAATACATGTCCGTTTAGAAAGATTAGAAAATCTTGATGTAAACGAAATTATTTATCCAGATTGCCACTTTCTTCATACTTGGTAAATGTCAAAGATTGCAAATTAAGCTTGCAAAATCTACACAGTTTACTGGGTTAGGGTTAACTATGATTCAAAAATTCCCGAAAATTTCTCAGAAATATTCAAAAATTTCCAGATTAACAACACTTCTAAGAAAACCTGCAATCTACATGTAAAAAAATTTCATTGCATGTTAAACATTTATGTTTGGCGTAGAACTGTGATAAAAATTGTTCAAAATTATTTGCATCTGTATTATCTATATAAAAACAGGTGCTAATTACAAGCTACCAATAAGCAACATATTTTCCAAATTATTTACAAGTGGAAAAGAACCAGGCTTAAATACTTTCTAGTTAAAAACTCATGCACTTTGTCGTTTTCACATTTAAAATCAGTGAGTCCCGAATTATGTAATGTGTAAGGGTAAAAGAGTCCATGGCTTCAAATTTCTCACTGTAAATCTGACACGACAATATGATTTTCCTCTTCGCAACCATTAAAAGACAAGGTTCACCGATTTCGATAAATAGATCCTCTCATCCACATCCCCTCCACAATTGTTCGACAAATTTAACGGTTTTAGGATGTCGCAGTTGGCAAAAAGAGATGATAACCAGCAGGATAAAATGACGAGGCACAATAATAAATAACGATATGTGCATGTGCTCAACTTTAGTAAATTAGTTACCCTTGCATTCAAGCTGTAAATACATGTAGTCTTTTGTAAGATTATGTATGTTTCACAACATGATGATTTTACGAGCGTCTTTAAAAATAAAAGATCTGCGTAACCTTACAAAGATTTGCAGGATGATTTTTGCACACTGGAATTTTTTATAAGGTGACATATGTTAGGATCTTGTAAAGGAAAGCATGAATTGATAATAAGGCAGTTCATGCGAAGCTATGCAAATAAATAAATAAGCATCAATACAAATAAGTAAATTTGCTTGGTCACAAGATTTGATACAATCATTATTATTATCATTCTGTGACTTATTTTTAGCATATTAATTCGAGTAGATTAAAAGTTAATTAATGCTTCAGGATCATTATGACAAGATGAAAATACTAAATTAATTTAAAGCCAAGTGCAACTTCCGGTTTATATTTGATGACAACTTTGTTACTGCTAAGAATGCTGCCTTATTCTACCCGAATAAGGTCACTCTACTAATGCCCGATGTGTGCTACGTGTACTAGTTACCGATGATAAAGTATCGGAGACTGCCCAATTACTGGGAATAGTTAAGTTGGGAGTGATTGTTAACTTTACTAAATATTTATTGGAAACCAAACATAAAATAATTCCAATTACAAAATGATCCCACGGATCCTAATAATTTATACGTGCTTCTTCCTCAAAAGCCAAGAGAAGAGACTAAAAGTGGTGAGGAAAAGAACAAAGACAGACGCGCAGAGAGAAAGAAACTCCCTCCAACTTACAATACTCGCCAGAGGGCGACTAAACTATGAAAGACAAAGATGAAGTAAACGATGAATTCCTTCATCCTCCCACCACTTTTCTCGGAAAAGTATTAAACATACATTAACACAAATCAATACATAATTATAACATCAAAAAAATCAAACAATTGAATTAAACCTAAATATCATTAATCACTTTCACTTTCCAAATCGATCTGGAACTACAATCTTGCGTCCAAAACGGGATCGACTGTCGGACTTGATTTCTGGCATCTTCACTGCCTCCGCCGCTGGGACAGGTAGGGGTACTGGCACTAGGGGGAATGCTTCTTGAGATGACATTTCCAGGGGATAGAGACGCTGAAGGGGTCGCACTAGGAATCCGCCTTGAGTCTTGACACGAGCTACCCGGATTTCATTATCTTTGCCCGGAAATAGCTCCACAATTTTCGCCATAGGCCACTGTAGTCGCTTTTGATTGTCGCTACCCACAAGGACGACATCTCCGACTTTGAATTCTTCACACTTCTTGGTACTTCCACGCTGGACTAGTTGAGAGAGGTACTCTTTTCGGAACCGCTCCCTCAACGCCTCCCTCAACTTCATCATTTCCTTGTACTTCTTCTGAAGTCCTTGTGAGTTGAGCACCTCCATCTCTGGTAAATCCGTCGTCGTGACATCTTGGAGGAACATGGATGGAGTCAAGGGGATCAAATCCTCCATATCCTCACTCACGTAGGTCAAAGGTCTTCCATTCATGACGGCCTCCACCTCACACAAGTAGGTTTCCATCTGATGGTAATTCAATTTGCTGTGACCGAGCATCCTCTTAAGCAAATCCTTGATGCTTCTGATGAGTCGCTCCCACCATCCTCCCCACCATGGTGCTGAAGGAGGGTTGAATCGCCACTCGATTCTGACGAGTCTGGTCTTCGTTTCAATCTCGGCCCAATTCAACTTCTTGAACTGATTGTCCGCGCCTTGAAAATTAGTTCCGTTATCTGTATAGATGGTGGCTGGTCTTCCTCTCCTTGAGACAAAACGATCCAGCGCCAAGAGGAACACGTCCGTACTTAGCTCGGTCACTAGCTCCAAATGTACGCATCTGTACACTGCGCACGTGAAGAGAACTATCCACGTCTTAGTTCTGTCTTTCATGAATAAAGGTCCTGCCAAATCGATCCCAGTAATTTGGAAAGCCTTGGCGGTCTTGACTCTATCTTCTGGAAGCGCTGCTGCTGGGACATTGGGAGTCTTGGTGGCAAATCTCCGGCATCGCGCACACGCTCCAATTGCTCTCTTGATGGCTCGGCGCCCTTGAGTGATCCAGTATTTCTCCCTCAATTGACTAAGTAGAAACTGGACACCCGCATGATGATGATGGAGATGCTCTTCTCGTATCATCATGTCCACTAATGGATGGCAGTGTGGTAAAATTACTGGCATCCTGAATGCTTCTGTGTCCTCCCTCTGGATGAGTTTAGTTTGGACACGCAGAAGTCCATCTTGATCCGCTTTCACTCGCAGCCCAGAGATCAACTGCTTCTCCTTCCCAAAACTTTCTTCTTGAACTATCTTGAGAAGTTTCATCTCTGCTACGGAAATATCTGCTCCAGTGAGTTCAGTTTTTCTCTCACTGAGATCTTCTTTATTCCGGTTGGTAAACTTCAGGACATAAGCGAACGCCCTGACAGTTTTCATGTAGGAGGAGGAATGAGCCATGTACCAATAATTAGAAGAATTCCCAACAGCCATGCTGATGGTGGCACTTTTCTTCTTCTCCTTCATAACTTCATCCATGTTGGGTTCCTCTTCACCTGATGGCCAAAATTCTTCCGATTTCGTCAACCATCCCGGTCCCTCCCACCATTTCGATTTTAGGAACTGATCCGGACTACATCCTCGAGAAGGTAAGTCGGCTGGGTTCATCTTTCCTGGCACCCATCTCCATTCTCCGGATTTTGTGAGTGACAAGATTTCTTTCACGCGATTACCCACAAAAGTGCCCCACTCATCATTGCGTCGAATCCATGAGAGCGCCGTAGATGAGTCGCTGTGGTAATGTGTTGGGACGTCTTCGAGTGTCAACGCCTCCTTGACTCGTGCTGTCAATCTTGCCGCTATGACGCACCCCAACAGCTCCAATCTTGGTATGGTGACCACTTTGAGTGGACTCACCCTTGATTTTGCCTGGAGAATCCGGATCTTGACTCCGTTCTCGTCTTCTGATCTCAAAAATATCACGGCTGCGTATGCGTTTTTGCTCGCATCGCAGAAGGTGTGGAGCTGCAACTTGGCCCCCAGATTTCCATAAGCATGGCGTGTAACTGAAACCGC